GATCATGCTGATTTTCGAACTTGACCTGCGTATTTTGAATATTCATCAGTTCTGAAAGTTTCAAGCCAAAAGGAAAAACAGTTTTCCACTTATCGTGTTATCGGTAAAAGTGCACGACGGCGACGACGACAGACGCAGATGATGGCTATATGTACAGACACATCTGTGTCTGTACATAAAAAATCATCTAATCAAACTGGTTTTCCTCGTGTTAGAAAAATGTCAAACATTGTTTATGAGGTCTTCTTCAATTTTGATGCAAAATAATGATGTGTCTGTACATAAAAATGGACAACCCTTAAATCAAGATCACCTGTGGCAGTCTCTTCTTTTGTTGTGTCCTCAAAGGATTCTTAGTCTTCAAAAGTGCTTCCAGTCCCCAAGGTTCCATTGAATTATCAAAAGGTTTCTCAAGCACTCTCAGGGCATGTTCACATGACATTCTAAAGAATTTGAGGTAATCCATCTTGTTTTTATTTCTACATAGATTATTGCCATAGAGAGTGCAGCTTATGCCCGGCTTAATGCTGGGAGGTGCGAGTTTAACAGTTTGCCCCAGATCTATAGATAGACCTTGGCAAAGAAAATTAAACTTGTGATAATGCTGGAAAAACTCCAACAACAGATCTCCTAAAAAGAAAAAAAAGAAAGAAATCAGTTAAAGCAATGTAATAACAAGGCGTCAAGATTTTTTTGTGGTGCAATCAGCTAAAAAAAAAAAAAAATTTATGTAAAGTTTCATATGGCAGTGTTGAAATATATATCATCCCATCTGGTAATATGACCAATTTTTTTTTCGTGACAGCAATCTTACAGTTGAACTGCAGCTTACTTTCTCACTTACACGAGAAGCAGAAATGCTAATGAAGGTCACTTCACACTGTCAATGCTTTTTGCTTCTCATTTAATTTCTTCTTAGACTACACTGCCATGCCTATTACAAAGTGAAAAAAATCTTCACCCTGCATTAGATATTGTTAATAAGTTGTAATATCTCTAGGAAGTCTTCTGTAATTAAAATAGATTAATACTTGCCTGTGGTGTTGCTGTTCTGTGATACAAATAATGAAGACTGATTTCTTTCATCTAAAATAAAAACAAAACCTAAGCAGCCCAGCTTTTAATATTGAATAGACACCAAACAGCCAAAAAGGGTTTGGCAGTTACAAGGTGAACAAATGTGTTAGCAATGAAAATGAAATGGACATACAGTGATCAAGAGAATATATACAGATACAGAAAAATGGAAATTTCTTCCTGAACATAACATAAAGATATTGGGTGTGACTTTTAGTACTACAACTAAAGTTGTACGTAATCCAGGGAAACTATGATACAGTATTTCAAATATGTGAAAATAATGTAAAATCATGGTCATTAAGAACCATAACTTTTTGTCTCCTCCATCTTAGCTTACCACAAACCTTCAAAGTCTAATTCATACCAAGAAGTAAGGCAACGCAGTTTATGGGTTGTTCCAGATTTGGGCAAACAAGGCCACTTTTGTAATATAATTACACTATCCTAATTATTTAAACAATGAAAGAAATTGTTGGCTGTATTAAATCATATGACCTTACGGAAAAAAAATATGTCAAATATTCAATAAGACATGTTACTCTTAAAGCAGGACAGAAGTGGAAACATTTTTTTATGTAGTCCGATAGTGTATTTTCTTAAATACAACTTGCTGAAAGCACGACTTCAATATGTACACTAGTGACCTATTTATAACGCATTGAATGCACAGGTTCTCACCTGTGAAAACCACTCGTTTGGAGGAAGGCTGGAAATAGCCGACATCGAGGCCACTCCGAGGTGACAGTCGAACTTGAAATAAATTGCTTATTCTTCCCAAACTTTTTATTGCTAGCACCACTGTCGTTATTTAGTTTCATTCAGAACCTTTTTTTTTTATTCTTCAAAATTCTTCAAATGTAATTTTATTATCTTTTCTATATACTAAACATGATTTAAAATCTGCCAAGGCTTGTTTTTATTTGTCTTTTATGAAAACATAAAAATATATCACATGTATGTCTCAAGGTAAAAAGGTCCACTTTTTTTGGACCCCCACCCTTGAAATTGCTGGCTATGGACCTGATAAATGTAATCCGATCATGCCGATTATCAAACCTGCCTCTTTTCTAAACAAAGTCACTCACTAAATTTAAAGTAAAACAAAATATGGTTTGGCAGTTATGAGGCAAACGTCATATGTCAGACAGCAACAAAGTAAAAAGACAGGCCACTCAGAATACATATAGACACCTACAGTGTCTGTGTATAAAATGGGAAATAACAAATGAATATGTTTAATTTTCTACAAATGTCTCCTTACGACAAATTTATTAAAAAATAGCATTTCACTGAACAGATTTAAATGTAAACAAACAAACAAACAAACAAAAACAAAACTTACTGTGCAATGAGTCAGCATATTCAGCAGAAGGCAATATACTGGGTGTCCTTGTTTGTAGAAAACTCACAACCAGAGCTGTGACCATAAAGTTTGTCATTGTGGGGTTTGGTTGAGGATACCTTACAATTTTTAGTTGCTGTGCAACCTCTTTGATGACTAAAACAAGGGGTTTCACCCGTNCCCCCCCCCCCCCGTTACAGGCGTGACGAATCAGTCAGCGAGGGCAAGTCTGCTTAATTAGCACAAATTGTATGTCTATAACCACTATTATTGTGATCGGGGATAAAGAAATGACAGGTACGTTATGTTTCCAGATCAGATCTTCAACTAATTGTTTCTTCCTCACTGACGAGAACTATTGAAAGGACAACAATTGACAAAGGGACGAGGCAGGCAACATCTATTTCACGATGTGGTCGAACAATCGGAACAAGAAAAAAATTCTGTCGCATGATTTTGAAGTATGGACTAAATGTTTGAGCCCAAAAAAATTAATTTTATACTATAATTTTTTTTGGTCGGATTGACTGGACCCGTCGAAATGCTTGGCACATTACCGTACATTTTGTATTTTGTAGATTTAATGAAACACTTATTCTCATTCACTTTCCATTACAATTAAGCAGTTTTTTTATAATGGGTGCTGTTATGTGATGCTCTGTATCATTAACATGTTCTTTCAGAATTGAAGGAAATGAGACTGCAAATGGCAACATTTTATAACAAATTTTACTAATGTGTAAATGTTGTTTATTAGAACAAGAATTGTTTTCCTGATTATATATTTTTAAATATATATAGGCCTTTTTTCTGGGTAACCCCTTTTCATCAAGGGTTGTAATTTTATTATCTTTTCTATATACTAAACATGATTTAAAATCTGCCAAGGCTTGTTTTTATTTGTCTTTTATGAAAACATAAAAATATATCACATGTATGTCTCAAGGTAAAAAGGTCCACTTTTTTTGGACCCCCACCCTTGAAATTGCTGGCTATGGACCTGATAAATGTAATCCGATCATGCCGATTATCAAACCTGCCTCTTTTCTAAACAAAGTCACTCACTAAATTTAAAGTAAAACAAAATATGGTTTGGCAGTTATGAGGCAAACGTCATATGTCAGACAGCAACAAAGTAAAAAGACAGGCCACTCAGAATACATATAGACACCTACAGTGTCTGTGTATAAAATGGGAAATAACAAATGAATATGTTTAATTTTCTACAAATGTCTCCTTACGACAAATTTATTAAAAAATAGCATTTAACTGAACAGATTTAAATGTAAACAAACAAACAAACAAACAAAAACAAAACTTACTGTGCAATGAGTCAGCATATTCAGCAGAAGGCAATATACTGGGTGTCCTTGTTTGTAGAAAACTCACAACCAGAGCTGTGACCATAAAGTTTGTCATTGTGGGGTTTGGTTGAGGATACCTTACAATTTTTAGTTGCTGTGCAACCTCTTTGATGACTAAAACAAGGGGTTTCACCCGTGCATCCAGTCCAGCAAACGTGTGTAACAGTTTGGATATATGTTTGCCATTGCTGTAATGAAGGAGTTTAGTATTATAGTTTTCTTCAGATGATCATTTATGCAAATTAGCTTCAATATCTTACGTTGGAAAACTAACAATTATCTTAAGCACTGCTGCAGCTGAAGGACACCAAAACATTTACACAAGAGTGGGAAGTAACAAAGTCTGAGATAAAAAAGTGGCTTGCAGAGGTAAGTAGCCCCCCCCCCACATCCCCCTCCAAGAAAGAGATCTTGTGGCTAAGGCCGAATGATCTAGTTGTTATCCATCCCCAAATAAGGAGTTGAACCATCACCAAAAATTACAGTAACAACATACGGTTAGACTGGGTTCCCATCCCTAGATCAATCCATTTGGATTGGTCCAACTCTCTGTAGAGTCTCAGTAAACTGCCATCAACTTAACCGGCTTAAATGTCTGTCACTCCTACCGAATCAGCTAGAGGGTAAAGATAATTACACCCTAACAGTTTTACTAGGTGTGACAGACATTTAAGCTGGTTAAGTTGATAGCAATTTAGTGAGACTCCCCAGGGAGATAGATCGATCCATATATCTGCAGGAATGGTCCCTTACCTTTGGGCTTTTTGTCCACAGAGGTCTATGTCAAGGTTCAACACATTGTGTCTCAGCTTCAAAAGTGGAATACTTGCACCCAACACAAATTGAACTGCCTGTTTGAAAAAATGTATAATAGAAAATGGAGATTAAAGGGTTTGCGACTGACCGTTAGAATTATCGTCAGAAAACATGCCCAACTAAGTATATCTTTTAATAATCAAAATAAACAAATTAGAATTCGCTAGGTCTTGGAGTTTATGAGCTAAGTGATCATGTGGTCCAATAACAACATACAAGCCACCAGAGGAGAGAGCCTGCTTGCTTAGCTGTCAGTCTTTAGTATTCTATATAGCATACACAAAACAAAGGCAAATACTAATTTGCTGACTAGCCCGGCCGATAGGAGGAGAGAGTCAGTTTTATTTCTTTGAATTGGAATTCAATAACAAATAACATAATACATTTGTTGTAATATTTATTTGTGCTGAGTTGTGCGATAGAAAGGATATACCCTTTAAGTATCAAACACAAATATGACAAATTGAATATAATTAATCTTCTACCAATAACTTAACTTTGGACTCCATTATTATTATTATCATTCAATACTGAATAAATTGTACATAAAACAGATCTCCTTAAGAATAACATACCGCCCAGTAAAAACCATAGATAAAACTGTGCATGCAAAACAGAAAAGTCACTATGGAAAACTTTGTCTGTAGCCACGATGCTAACTTGTACAAATCATCGCCCTATAAAATATAGATGCATGATATTCAAGGCTCTAGAGTGACAGACCTCACTCTGAATTCACAAACCCATATACATTTTTATAAATTAAAATTTTAGTGTGTCCTGACTGCTATAAGTTGTTGAGCTAGAACTGAAGTGCTACTATAAAGTACACCTAATAGTCACACCTGTGACTACGATTCAGCACTGTCACATGCTTGTGACGTAATGCAAAGACAATCATTTTTCACTATATGCTGTCCCGTGAAAAATATCCAAACTGAGCTGCCATGATCTACAGGTACCTGTAAAATTACTTTTCAAACTCTGATAACAATTCATGGCCATTCACCTCTCTTACCTGTGGGGTCTATATCCTTACAAAGCCAGGTGCCGGTCTATTCAATTTTTTAACTGGCATTTAATTACGGTTACCCCCACTAGCTACCATAATGTATACTGCAGTTGAATAACTTGAGTGTATTTTAATCATTCGATATAAAGTCCATGGTTTTGGGCATTATGTTTTGCAAAAATTTTTGCTCAAATTGCAATACTTGGGTTTCAAAATTAATTATAAATGTTTTATAATAATATTATTAAATATTTCAGTTGAAATACCCTTTAAAAACAAATAAATACATTCTCAAAACAAACAACACTTTATTTCGCATTACAAATTAGGATTACAAACCATTTTATTACAACTGTTCCCATTCTTTTATTTCTTTCATATTATCACTCTTTTTTGAGTTATTCCTCAACCACCGAAGTAATGCCTGGGCATGTGCATGCTTCAAGACACCCTGGGAGCTATCTTTGTCATGTACATTTGCAGCCATGTTTAAACTCATTTGTTTAAATATCAATTTTAAATGTCATTTTAAAATACCAATGACATAACCTCATAAAATAAAAGAGATATATTGAAAAAATATTAGTCTACCTAGAATCTGACAGGTTGAGTTACCTGTTACTACCTGGCATGGGAAGTGTGGTGTTGTGTAATTAACAAGTTTAATTGTTAATGAGCTCTTGGTCAAGTACCAGGCATTTAATTTGCAATAAGAAGCTTGTCAACTGATAACAGTTAATTTGAAAGACTGTCAGCTTTTGATGTGATCTAAACCACATGAGGCAACCATACACCCCATTTCCATAGATTAGATCGACCTACTTTTGATAGACCTAACTCCCTGGGGGTTCACGCTAAACAGCGGTCAGCCGGGCGGACACGAAAGTTAATTACCCCCTTACAGCTTGTAGTAGGCAGGACGGACATTTAAGTCGGATTATCTGAATGTAATCTAGTGAGACTCCCCGCGGGGATAGATCGATCTTAAAATCTATGGGAATAGAGCCATAGTCTCATCACATCTATTGTCAGTAAGTTAGTAAGAAAGTCACGTAAGACTGTAAATGACTAAGTAAGAAAATCATCAACAAATGCCAAATCCTTTACTGCATTTTTTTTTTTTTTTTTTTGTGAATCCCACAGCAACACACTGGGGCATAACGAAAACTGCCCAAATCCGTTCAACATAACCTTCCCTAAACTATCCAAAAAGTGATAGAAAAAGAAAACTACGGTAATGTGCCATGAATTTCGTACAGTAGAAAATAATTAAATTTGGGAAAAGATAATTTTGGTCGAAATTCATAAAATAGAGGTGCTCAGAACTTCCAAACTTTCCTAAACTATCCAAAAAGTGATAGAAAAAGAAAACTACGGTAATGTGCCATGAATTTCGTACAGTTATCTGGAAGAAAATAATTAAATTTGGGAAAAGATAATTTAGGTCGAAATTCATAAAATAGAGGTGCTCAGAACTTCCAAACTTTCGAATTTCATAGAATTCTATCAATTTTGACCAGAAGTTGTCTGTTACTGTCTCCTGACTATCTATTTAGAGCTACCATAATGTATGATGAGTGAATGTTTGTAATTGCGAACCAGGGGATACACATACTTAATACTTTCCTCCGATCACTGTGTATGGCCCAAGATAACGAGCAGTACTGTTGGCTAGGAACACAAATCAGCATCGTTATCAGTAGTGTTGTTTTTCAAAAGCATTGCTGGCCATCAGAAACTAGTGTCGTTTCTCGAAAATGATCCTGGCGCTCAAAATGGGAGTGGACGGAGGGAGAGACAACCAGCAATTAGCTTCTACCCTGGCCAGATAACCTTTAGTGTGGAAGCCGATCTTTGTCTATGGCGCACGTACAGGTAGTCTTCATCGGCGATAAGTGTCTTCTGCGATCAGGTTCGTTGCCTTTACCGTTGAAGTTGGGTAGAGCTTTACGCGCGAGTGCATTGTTACGTTGCACTAGTACTCCTGTCAATTGTATCCTATCAATGGGCATTATAACTATAGCGAGTATAACTCGTGGTCACCTTTGGTGACAACTGTGGACAAAAATAAAGGAGCCCGGATGTGGAGGTTTTTGGACACACCCACTGAGATAGGAAGGAGAAGAGAGACATGTAGGCATGGAGAGCAAGGAGCTAGGATAGATGGACTACGTCTTAACTGATCGTGGATGTATAGTACTATACATGGAGGTAAAGGAAAGTGAGTGACTGTACGTGCACTAGTATACAAGTTGATGGAAAATATGGAAGCTGAAAAAAACGAGTGATTGTACATGCATCAGTACACAAGTTGACGGAAAACAGAGAGGGAACTATGATTGACAAAAGATAAGTAACGTTGAGAAAAAGCATTGACTATTACGAACAATGCAAGGAAGGTACGTAGGCCTACACAAATGAACAATGACAATGAAATGGAAGTGCGTGGAATGATTCTCTTATCCTGTGAACACTAACTTTGTTTGAACATTATAAAGCCCATATTAGTTAAGTTATTTAGTTCAATGTTATTGTATGTTTAGTTAGGTTTTAGTTCAATTAGTAAAATATTATCATTTTAATTTGAGGTGTTTGTTTCTATTCGTATTTATGTTTATGCTTTATTTTTTTGTTACTAAAGAACTCAATATAGGACGTAACAGCATCTTCACCTCGCCATGCTCCGGGCGGTGTCTTCAACGAATACGTAGCCTTCACTGCAGATGCTGGCCTCGGCATTATGGCCTCTCTCCACCGTGCAGGGAGGTTACTAATACTGCAAATCGGTATATAGGGAGCATATGTAGCCTCAACCATGGCAGCCGAACTGTGTATTACGGCCTCTCACCATTGTGCGCTGCGACCAAGATGACCGCTGATTGTTGTTTACAATCGCTCAGGCAACCAAATCTTGACCTGCAGCTGTCTGACAACACAAGTGATTTCCTGGCACATAGTTGCGCCAATGTGCACATTTGAAAAGTGTATACGTTTTGTCATTTAAACCAAACAAACACGCGAGTGAAAGGTAATCTAGATGAAACCAAAAAGGCAATTTTCATATTTGTTAGCAATCCCAGCAAGACAGAAAGGCCATTTTCATATTTGTTCATTAATGAAAGATCGTCAATGGGAGATCGTGGACGATCTGAGCAAGACAAGAAAGAAAAAATGGTAATCTTTATTGCAGCTCTTACATTGCTTCTTTTGTTCTTTTGCTGAAGTCCCTACTGTTGACAATGCTATTGTGCGCCTCAGCAAAACTACTGATCAGTATCTCACACCAAGTACTCCAGTAAAGAAATAATAGCTCGACAGCGCAACTCTTAATTGATTCTCCTGTTATTTTAATGGATGGTGATGATGATGTTTAGCATCCTAATGTAACTGCACTGATCCTTATCTTGCACCTTGGACCGCACACGTAGTACTCAGGTAAAGGTATGCTAGGGCAACACTGGTGACTGTTAGATCTTAATTAGTTGAAAAAAACGCCTGATGGCGGATTTTAAGGTGTGAGAAATTCACAAGATAATGCAAAATTGCTTGTTGGTCGAAATTCATGGTCCATAAAAAACTCCAGACAGCCAATTTTAAGATCATTCGAAATTTATAAGCCTTTCAAAATTCATGGAACATTACCCTATTCCACACGAAGTTCATGGTCCATAAAAAAACTCCAGAAGGCCAATTTTAAGATCGTTCGAAATTTTAGAGCCATTCAAATTCATGGAACATTACCCTATTCCATATTAACAGTGATTTGCAGGAGTAAAATTGTGAAGCCTTCAAGTCTGAAAACATCTGGCTGAAAAATATAATTGTCATACATACCTTAAGGTGTGAGGACCATGCTGGCAAAAGGTTTCCAATTATGGCTAATTCAGAAGGCATGTCGATCAAGGCCCTATTTTGGGGTAAGACGGTTGATGACAGCTGCAATCACATCAATTAATCAATCAATATTTGCAAATTATTTCTGAATCACTTGGGAAGCCAGAATCATTCTTTTCTGCAGAAAGAGATCAAGATAGGAGCTAAGGGACTTATATTTAACAGGACTACTGTTTAATTTTTCAGAGCATCTAAATTTTTCATAGCTGCAATGCAGGCCTAATGAAAATAATAAAGACGTAAATAAATACATGTATGGTGGCCTTGTGGCTACTTAGGGCAAGAGCATATATGACCTGTTTAGTGTAATGTCAGTCATACACATACCTTAACTTAAGTGTTTTAATTAGTTACATTACGAATTATGCTTATTTGCATTGTGGTTAAGGCACCAGTAATATCCTAGGACTGGGTTCCCATGCTTAGATCAATCCATCTGGATCGATCTAACTCCCTGGGGAGTCTCACTAAATTGCTGTCAACTAACCAGCTTAAATGTCTGTAACATCTACCGAATCAGCTAGAGGGTAAAGATAACTAGATAACAGTCTTGTGCTTAACAAGCTCTATAAAATGCAATCAACAAGAGCTCTCAAAATATGTAAAAATAAAAAAAAAAACATAACTAGAGGATCAGAGAGGCGAAACCGCCTCTGAATATTGTACCACCAGCTGGAGCAAGCGCATTTGTATAGACCCCCACATACACAAAATAAGGGACACAGCTACCAGTCTTGTGCTTGACAAGCTGTAAAAATGCAATCAACAAGAATTTTCAAAATATGCAAAAAATATATATAACTAAAAATGGTACAATCAAATTTAAGTTCATCGTAAGGTAGGTCAAAGGTCAATTTCAAGGTCACAGTAAATTGCCAGTATATGACTTCCTATTTAAGTTCAATAGTAACTATGGACCTATCTCTGCCAGGTTTGGAGTTAAAAGAGAAAGAAATTAGCAGAGTTCAGTTCATGATAATAAGTAAG